TAAACCAGCAAAGGACCAGCTTAAACCAGCATCAAAACATACCTAACCAGCATATGCTGGTTTGTTCAACAGGGCGTTTAATTTTCTACAAAACATGGGTGCATTTTGTTCACCAAAAACATCCTTTTTGAAATTTCCTTCATTTCCACTTTCATCTTAAATTCCCATTCACAACACCAGCTTGTTCTGCGTTCCTCAAAACCACCACAACGTATGCTTATGCTGCTTCCAAAAGATCGTGCTTCTAACAATACAACCCGTACCAAAAGCACCATCTAAATAACCTAGTTTTCCTAAATAACACTGAACACAAAAATGCTCAGTGCTCAATTTAGAATTGTTCCTCTTCCTCTCCTTTGAAACACAACAGCACTTCTGGTATGGTTTGTATCATAATATTCATGCTATCAAATTAATACACATGCACCATACTACTCTCAATCCCAAAACACTTACAAAAAAGCATTTATCATAAACACACATTAAGCATCAAAACAAAAATGAAGGAAATTGTTAAAATTCTCTTTATGTTTTTATCCAGAAAATACATATTCCAATTGCTTCAGAAAATAAAAAAATAGAACTAATACATGAAATGAATCACATCTATAATGTTTTATTACCTTTCCAAACTTTCTAAATAAAAGTTACTTAACCTATCAATGAACAGACAACCTCTCAGATTTCATTTAAAATATCTTCAATTCTATTCTGAAAACTAACAAAATCCTTACAAAATTGTTGCAACATAAGGACAAATAATGAATTCAATGATGTACATTTTTAAGTGACCTACTGTCTTAAATCTATCTATGTGGTTATGCCTGTAAACTTTTCTCATGGTTTTCAGACTGAACAGATTGATGCATCAGAGGTTTGGTCTTAAATTTCATATAAGGTGGTATTAAAAAGGTCTTAAATTTAACTTGATCATATCTGTAGACAACCTGCACACCCCGAACTAAGACAATGTCTAAGAGTTGATAGTTACGGTCATTCAATTGACCGCTGGCCGAATAATATGATCAGCTGTAAAACATTGTTTCTGTCAAAATTCACTATAAATATAATAATTAATTCACTTTGTTGTAAGGGAAATTTAGCTTGAAGTAAATAGCAGTACATGGAAATGGCAAAAATTTCCCAGAATGCATTGTTGTTGTTGTTGTTTTACAGTATAGTACTATTTTATTGGAAAACAGTATGTTACTATCACTTTTTACAATGTGAGGCTAACATGAATTTACATTACATGAACCTTATTTTAGAAAATAATATTAATAACAGCAACATTCACAATAACTTTATATTGTAATTATACATCCGCACCAGCTTTGTGGTTTCATCGATGGCATATTACTAGGCCTAATTAGTTTTGTAATGCTTAATACGTTTATAATAATTATAATTATATTATAAATATTAAAATACTGGCAACAAAAATCAACACATATTACACATGCAAATATAACACATGCATTTTATGTATTTATTATTTTTAGTATCTTGAAACTCTCCCGAGCAGCGTTTTGGGCTCAGATAAGATGGCAATGGTCGTAGGGCGCCCTCAGTAGGTTGAATACAATACCTACAGGTTAAAGAAGAAATAAGAAACATGTACACTTCATCTCTCATTCAAACTCGCTCGCTCCCGCTCTCTCTTCCAGCTCGTCAGTCCTCTCCACATTGGATTATGGGAAATAGTGCTTCAACGAGTGCACATCGGTTGTACACTTGAAATCAGAGAGGATTGTGGGTAAAAAGTAGTGAACGAATGTAGGGAATGAACTTGTCCACTATATAGGGGCTGGGGAGTAGTTTCGGACACAGCTGTAATAATACAACATAGAAAGATTTGTCAAAACATCTAACAGAACATAAATTGTTCATTTTTATCCAACATTAAGGTGCCTATTTTTTAATTAACAAAATGTCAATCTTCATCTTTATACAGAAGATCCAATACAATACAATCTTCAAGATACAGTACAATCTTTATATTTATAATGAACTGTCACCTTAAAAATGGTGCTTACGAGCCTTAGCTACAGCAAATGTTGTCATTATGTCCTCCATATCCAAAGAACATCTCAACTCAACCCAACCTTTATTTATAAAGCACTCTCAAAACCATTAACAAAACCATTCAAATGGACCAAAGTGCTGTCCATAAATAATAAATACTAAAATTCATGCAAACATAAAATGACAAGATATAACATCAAGAAAAAAACATAACTGTGTTTCTCAGTTACTAATCTCAGTTACGTTATGTAACCATCGTTCCTTGAAAGAGGGAACAGAGATGTTATGTCGGCACTGACGTTAGGGGTCTCCCTTAGATGTCTGCTAGAGAGGAGGCAACACTTTGAGTGGAGTGAGCTCTCACCCCCAAGGGGCATGGCTCGCCTTGTATCTGCTAACCCAAGGTGATGGCATGCACTAGCCAGTGGACCAACCTCTGTTTGTAGACAGCCTTTCCCTTTTGCTGACCTCCAAAGCAGACAAAGAGCTGGTCAGAGCGTCTAAAGCTCTGGGTGCGTTCCACGTAAAAACACGTAAGTGCGAACGGGGCGCAGCAACATAAGATCTGTCTCCTCCCAGGGCAGTGCTTGCAGGTTCACTACCCGGGACCAGGTAGTGAACCTGCAAGCACTAGAGAGTAGTGGGAACTTTCGGCAAATAACCAGGCCAGGGTCTCAGGGTAGCATGAGAGTCAGCCAGCCCAAATTCAAGGCACAAATCGATGACCGAAAATGCCTGCAGGTCCCCAATCCTCTTGATAGACGTGAGCGCAACCAGGAGCACTGTCTTAAATTACACAAACTTAACTGAGTTAAGCAGCTCAAAAGGAGCTCTACGTAGTCCTGCAAGGACCACATAGAGATCCCAAGGGGCAGAGGAGGCGCGATCTTGGAGAATTTAATCTCTTCGCGCCTCTCAGGAACCTGATGATTAGGTCGTGCTTCCTTTAGAATCTTCCATCCACTGCATCATGATGCGTCGCAATGGCGGCGACATACACTTTCAAAGAAGGTCTTTCCTCAGGGGGGATTCTCCAGGATGGGGCTGTCGCAAGGAGCTTGAGAACGGAGAACCAGGTTGGGGTGGGCCAATATGGCGCAACCAAGCAGGACCTGCTCCTTGTCCTCCCTGATCTTGCACAAAGTTTGTGCAAGGAGGCTCACTGAGGGAAATGCATACTTGTGCAAACACTGGGGCCAGCTGTAAATCAGTGCATCCATGCCAAGGGGGGCCACGGTCAGGGAATAGAACAGCTGGTATTGGGAGGATTCCTGGGAGGCGAACAGGTCCACCTTGGCTCCAGAATCGACTCCAAATGAGCTGAACCACCTGGAGATGGAGTCTCCATTCTCCCAGAAGGGTAAGCTGTCGTGAAAGCGCATCAGCTGCGTCTGACTCCAAAGGAGAAGATGGCAGGCGAGATGCGACATGTGATGAGAGTGTACCCCCCCCCCTTAATGGTTGACGTATGCAACTGTCACAGTGTTATCCATGTGGACGAGCACAAACAATACTGCTAGCAACTCAAGGCATTTGATATGCAACTGCAGTCGTGGTCCCGTCCAGGAGCCCGAGGCTGTGTGCCCATTGCATACAGCGCCCCAGCCCATCCTGGAGGCATCTGTTGTGACAACAACATGCCTCGACACTTGCTCCAAGAAAGTCTGGTGTCAGATTGGTGTGATAGCCACAAGATGTGTGCCTCACCACCATACTCTTCTAGGGACTTGATTCTGAACCCAATGCTGAAGCGGTCTCATATGCAACAACCTGAGCAGCATTACACAGTTGACCCATCCCTTACACCTTAAAATATGCTTAAACCTACCCATACCACCAAACCTGTCCCTAACCTTACCCATATTCCACCTCAATAGCAGCAAAAGTGTTTTGCAATACAATATGAACACAATAAGTACATTGTACTTAATTTTTGATGTAAGTACATCGTAGTTAAGGCCACTTAATATAAAGTGCCGGTGAGTTTGTTCATACATTCTTCGTTTAGCTCACAGGCAACATTTAAAAACTAAGTGGCAGTCTAGTTCACATATTTACATATTTTGAAAAGGCCTGAAGTTTGGTAAATTAACAGAAAATTAAAAAATTTTTTGGTGACATTTAAAACAGTTATCTTCTAAAGTGAATCTTCATGTGTTCATTAAGGGTTACTTTACGTCTGAAACATTTTCCACACTGATCACAGGTGAACGGCTTCTGTCCAGTATGAATGTCCATGTGAGTCTTAAGATTTCCTTTCTGTGTAAAGCTCTTCCCACACAGTTTGCAGGTGTGAGGGTTTTCTCCTGTGTGAACTCTCATGTGGGAATCAAGGGATGGTTTATATCTGAAACTCTTTCCACACTGAGAGCATGCGTAAGGCTCCTCTCCAGTGTGAACTCTCATGTGAGTCTTGAAGCTTACTTTATGAGCGAAACGTCTTCCACACTGTTGACATATTAAACAATCCTCTCTTGAGTGAATCCTCATGTGGGAATCAAGGGTGTCTTTATGTGTGAAACTCTTTCCACACTGATCACATGTGAATGGCTTTTCTCCCGTGTGAATTGTCATGTGTTTTTTAAGGTGTACCTTTTGAGTGAAACTGTTTCCACACTGTTGGCAGGCGAAACGCTTCTCTCCAGTGTGAATGATTATGTGGCTTTTAAGGTTCCCTTTTTGACTGAAACTCTTTCCACACTGTTGACAGGTGTAAGGTTTCTCTCCCGAGTGAATTCTCAGGTGGTCTTCAAGGTTGTGTTTTCGACTGAAACTCTTTCCACACTGATGGCAGATGCAAAACATGTAAGATTTTTTCTTGGCTCTCCTTCTTGAGGAAGTCTTTTTGGATTTTTTTCCAGCTATGAAATCATGATGTTCCTCTATGTCATTCAGTTCTTGATTCTCCTCTTTCAGTGGCATCAGGTCTACAGTGAAAAAAACAAATACACATTATTCCCACACTATAAAAATTGACTGTAATTAACTTTAATTGCTTTCAATTAAAATGGTACTATACTATTAAAAGAAACAATGTATTATGGGAATTTTTTGCCATTTCCTATGTCATGTAATATTCTGTGAATAGCATTGCATTTTGGGGGTAATTTAAAATCTGTTTGAGCATAAACAATATCTGCAAAGTTACGAAGCTGAAAGTTCAATGCAAACGGAGATATCATCTTTTAAAATTCTGGCAGTTTAATGCCTACAAAACGGCTGGTAGGGACTACGAGAAAGTATTATGTTTGCCTTTAATAATATTAAAGCAATCGTTATAATACATTTTGTGTACATTTTAATTCCTTTGTTTAACATTAATTATTAGATAGACTTCTATCCATATTAGACAGAACTTAATGACAACAGCGAACAAGAGGGAGAATGTGAGCACTGTGTGC